TTGTTTGTTTTCCCTGGAGTAAGTCTAAAGCTGTTGTTAGATGCCTAGAAAAAGGAACCTGCTGCTTTGTGATCCTTAGCTGTTTCAGTTTAAGTCAATGTAGCTGTAGAATGTTCCATCCTTTTTGGTAGTAAAGGGGATTGAACCAGGGACCTTGGCAATGAGCTACCTCTCTAGCTTTATTTCTTTTCGATTCAGGGTTTCAATGTGCAGTTCAGACTGACTTGGGGCTCACTTTGTAGCCCACGCTGCCCTTGAACCTGCAGCAACCCTCCTACCTCAGCCTCCTGAGTGCTGGGATTACAGGTGTGCGTGTGCCACTACACCCAGCTCTTGAAAACATTTTTTTGAGCTAAATTGTCCAGGCTAGGCTTGAACTTGTGATCCGCCTGACTCAGGCTCTCAGAGTACTGGTATAACAAGTGTGCACCTCCATGCCTGATTTGAATGTTCCATCTTTTAGACACCATCCATGTCCCAAGCATTTGTTTCAGAAACCGGGATAGCTTCCAGGTTCGTTTTGCGAATTGTTTGATTTCTCCAGTCACTCATTAACTCGGCCTGTTCACCTTGGGGAGATCATAGTTGTGAGCTATAAAACATTCTAACTGTAAAACATTTTCCTAAGTGAGTGGGATGGTTGGCTTAATTGAGAACATTCACAGCTGAGCTTCTCAGTAGTTTATTCTGAAACCTGCTGTTGTAACTTTGACCAGCAGAGAATGATTAAAATAAAGCAACACTAGTCATCATAGTATGCAAATTACTTGCCTTAAAAGACTTGAAATTCAGTAAATACTTCTATTTTAAATTTCACATCTCAGATTTTATAGATCATAAAATTGGAAAAGACCACAGCCAGTGTTCAACCAATGTTTTTTTTGTCTTTTAAAAGTATATTATCTAACCATTTTATTTATTTATTACCAGGACTCGAACTCAGGATCTTGTGCTTGCTAGGCAGGTACTTGTGCCACTGAGCTATATCCCTGGTCCTCAACCAATATTTAATTGTTGTTTTTTTTGAGACAGGGTCTTGCTATGTAGTGCAGGATGGTTTTCTTAATTTTTTACTGTTACAAATTTTAAAAATACATTCAAAAGTTCGTATTTGATTTCAAGGCCATCTCAGGCTGATAAAGTACACCGATAAATCCTAGATGAGAAATCTCTGATCTAGTTCAGAGCTTTCCCTGGGGTTTAGAGAAGATAAGCGACATATTAAAGGCCATGAAGCTTCTGTAACTCAATTCTTGTTAGTCAACTCTTTTTTCATTATGTTATCCCTTTTCTTAAAACCAGCTCTGAACTGATAGAACTTGAGGAAGAACTAGGAGTTTTAATCCTTAAAATCAATGATTTCAGCTTTGTTTTATTCAACTAGCAGAGTAAAGTAAAAGAATACCCAAAACATTGGAGTTGGCAATTTAGAAAAGACAAATAAACTAAGCAATTTTTTTATTACTCACTGTGGTTATTGGAGGACACTCCAGATCCCTCAGACAGTGTATCTCAGTGTCTCATCATTTTCTTATCTGGACTGCCAGCATCTAAATGCATCATGTAACTGTCAGGTCACTCGAGAGCCCAAATTAACGCATTTGGTCAGGTCTCCTGTTTTTGCTTCTCTCAAAGTCCTTCCATAGTTGGGCACAGCCTAAGCCTTATTGCTTGTCCCACCTTTTCAGGAATTCCTCAATTGGACAGCATTACATAAGCTTAAATTGTCATTTATTACCATTATTTACACCACAGTTTTATTGTCTCCTAGCATTGTACGTTTGCTCAGGTTGCTCAGTGTCTTCATCTGTAAAATTTTTCACAATCTCATTTATTTATTTATTTTTTTGGTACCAGAGATCAAACTCACAACCTCACACTTGCCACGCAGGCGCTTATGTCGCTGAGCTAAATCCCCAGCCCCCACCATCACATTCTTAACTGGAGTCAAACAAGTACTGAGTGCTTCACAGTATCATGTTTATACCGCATAACCTAAATGCCTTCTCTTAGTCACTGTTGTATTGGGTGGAGAAGGATGTTAGGTCCTCTTTTTTTTCTGTTCTTAATGTTCTATATTGGTACCAATATTTGCAGCCTCAGTAGTCTCATAACATTTGATCATTAACAGATTTATGAAACCTTTAATAAAATTTTCCCCACTGTAAGAGGGTAGATGTTTTCTTTTCAGGGGGGAACACTAGGTAAGAGAGCCTTCTTTTGGAAGCCCAGATCTCTAGCTCCAGAGTGATAAAGAACAGCTGATAACGCAGCTTGGCTCAGCTTCTAATTTGATGCTTCTGCAGGCTGGGAGCCAACACTTTGCTTCTGATTTGTGGGTCGGGGTCTATCCTACACTGATTAGAAGATTTCAGTTCATCATCCTCTGTCTTGATTGTGTTCTCATTATCATTTGAAAAAATCATGCATAGTAAATATATACTTATTCATAAAATGGAAATTATTTCAATATTTCACATTTTAAAAATATGTTAAATTAGAAATTAAAGACTGAGCTTGCAGCAGCAGCAGCAGCAGCAGCTTCGTTCCTGAGCCATGGGGATCCTGCAGCTCCCTTTGCAGAGGAACCACTGCAGCCCCTTCTAGAGCTTAGCTTCCATCTAGTTCTTTGTGCCTACCTCATGTTCTGTGCTTGCTTTATTGTTGATTTCAATATTTAGCTATGCAACTGGATTGTAAAATACCTGAGGTTGGAGACAAGATAAGGTCTTTTGTTTCTTTTGTATCCTGCAACAATATATAGCACATGTTGGGTGCATAATTATTGAATATATACTTGATGTATTTCCTGGGATCATTTCAGAGTATTATTTTGCTGAATTTTTTTGGGGGGCGTCTTTTGTCTTTTATCTTTGGGGCAAGGTTGCACTTTGCAGTTCAGGCTGGCCTTGAACTCACTTTGTAGCCCAGGCAGGCCTCAAATTTATAGTGGTTCTCCTGCCTCAGCCTCCCCAGGGCTGGGATTATAGGGGTGCCACCCCACCTGGCTCTATTTTGCTGATTATTAGCTAAAGAAAAAAATGTTCTTAACCTCAGTCCACGTTCGTAAGTCTGGGTTTTATACTCTGTATTGCTCTTCTAGATTAGAGATACTCAAGCCTGTACACATTTACAGTTTGAGGGGGGAATAGCTACATTATATTTGATGAAGTGATTTGATTTGGACATCAGGAGAATGGTGCCTTCTGAGAATCAAAGCCTGGTTGGCACCCACATGTTTTTTTGTTCCTGAGGCTTCTATCCTTTAATTTCTTATCGAATAGCAAAGTGCTAAACTGTAGCATTTTCCTTTTAATTAGACTTTCATAGCATTTTCCTTTTAATTAGATTTTATTGGTACATTTTAGATATACATAATGATCACGCTCATCACAGAGCATTTTCTCTTTATACTTTCTCTAATTAATTTGTGTTGGCATTGATGTTCTCGCTGTTGCCAAAGTTACGTAAAATACTACTTTGTAGTTTATATTTTTCAGGGCTTTGTTCTGTTTCTCTTAATCACTACTATGTTTTTGACTCTAAAGACAATAGCTATGTGGTTCTAAAAATCTCAGAAGCCTAACATCACAACCTTGTTCTTATGACATTTCTTTATTTTCAGTTTTCTAGAGGAGCTAAATAGAGAAAGAAAGTACAAAAATTGTTTATAATCAGTTGCAAATCAGGACATCAAAAGAGATGAAAAACAAACTCAAAACTTAAGAGTTCATGTCTATGGATTATGTTAGTCCTTCATAAAAAGTGTAGTACATTGTAGCTACTAATTCACTAATTTTAGATCAAAGCTGTCATGTTACAATTTAAGATTTGGGAATTTTTAAAAGTTATTTTGTTTGTCTGATAGGTAAGTTAGTTGTTTTTCTTCATACACCCAACATTCTAATTTGAGTGGCTCATATTGACGTTTATTTTTCTTGCTTATGGCTATGCAGGGTGTGTGGGGTTGCTTTGCTCCAGGCAGCGGATTGGCTTCAGACTGGCTCTGTTTCTCCTTCTCCTTGTATACCAGTTACCTGTACATATTCTCATGGGGAAGGTGGAGTGCAGAAATACAAGCCAAGCCTCCCAAGCCCTGAAAGCCTCTGTTCATGATGGTGTCTCCTGAAACTGCACTGGTGAAACCCAGTCAGTGATCTAGCTCACCGTCAGTGGGCCAGGCTGTGTATCAGGTCACAGCAGCAGGCAGAGCAAACTGCAGAGGATCAGGGCAGCAAATCTGGTGTACAAATCCTGTGAGAGTGAGAAGCTAGGGGAAGTAATCCAGTCGTCCCCTGAAGGGGAGTCAGCCATTAACCCAGCCATTAACTTGCTAATATACTTTCTGTAGACAACAAAGATGAGAGTTTTCATCTTGGCATGATTTAAAAAATTCTTCAGTGCTTGAGATTTCTTTCAAAAATGCTCCTTTTAGCCAAAGTTATTGTTTAATAGAAATATTGCCTTCCATGTGCTGTTTGTGAAAGAACTAGAATGGCTGACAGATTGGAAAATTTCAGAAGTCGGTTACAAGGGAGTAGAACTTGGGTGGTGGGCCACATCTATAATCCCAGCACTTGGGAGACTGAAGCAGGAAGATCGCTGCAGATTTGCGGCCATCCTGGACTACATAGTGATTTCAAGGCCAGCCTGATCTGCAAAGAGAAATCCTGCCTCAAAACAAAACAAACACCATAAAATCAAAAAGTATCAAGTCAAAGGAAAGTGTCCCTGTGTTATTGCTTTGGTCCATTTTCCAGGTTGTACCACCAGTTAGGAAGAGGTCGTGGCTCATACGTACTTTCTGGAACACTTCTCCCCAGCGTCTAAAAGATAGAGAAGTGCCATTTTATTCCCCATAGTCAAATGAATATTAAGATATAGTCAACTGAATATTAAGATTTCTTATTTTGAGTTTATTTTGGTGGTACTTGAAATTTTGAGTTTTTTGTATTTATTTATTACTGAAACCATAATGCTTTCTTTTGCTTTCCTTCTAGCCTGAAAATGAAATTTCTTCAGACTGCAACCATGTGAGTATGGATTTTCTGCAACTCACCATATGTGCTTTTTATATGCGATGACAGATACTGGGATGCTTTTCCTGTTGTTTTAGGAAGCTTTATGTTTTCTTAGATTCTCTTAAAAAGATGCTAAACATTAAGAACCATGATAAAATACACAAATTCCCCTCCATTGCACAAGCCAGCAGGTTGTGTCAAATAATATTTGCGTACTTAGGCTTAAACTTAACTTTACTTTTTTGGGGGGATTTTTTTGTTTGTTTGTGTTTGCTTTTAAATTTTACTATTAATATTTTTTGTTTTTTTGAGACAATGTCTTGCTATGTAGTTCAGACTAGCCTTGAACTAGTAGCCCAGGCTGGCCTTGAAATTGTGGTGATCATGCTGCCTCAGCTTCCCAAGTGTTGGGATTACAGACGTGTGCCAGCGTGCCCAGCAAAACTTTCCTTTATTATAACTCTATATGAAAATAACTAGTTCTGTGCTTATCAAGTTGACAACTTTTAAAATACTGTGTAGTTTTTTCATTAGTCATCTATGGATGGTAGCATGTTGATAGGAGGCTGATTATATCTTCGCAGAAAGTATCGGTGCTTTGGCTGAAGTCTGTACATTAGCACAGTGGGGACACAAAGTGAATTTTGTCCAGGTGGGTTGATGCCAGGAAAGGTTGAATAGTGAATTAGGTCTTCAAAAAAGCGGGCATCTGCCCCATTGTAGTAGGGAGACTAGATAGGGGTCTCTAAAACCTGACAAACCAGCTGCTTAGGTTAACTACTTACTCTAAATTGAATTATATAGGGGTTTATTTTATTGGGGCTGGAGCATACCTCAGTAGTAGATCCCTTGCGAGCATGCATAAAACCTTGGGTCCAATCTCCAGCACCACACTTAAATTTATTTATTAAATACAATATTAAATCCGGCATGGTGGCGCATGGCTGTAATCCCAGCACTAGGAAGCAGAGGCAGGGGATTGCTCAAGTTTGAGGCCAGCCAGAACTACATAGCAAGACCTGTCTCAAAAAAAACCCCCAAAAATAAAAAAAATTAAAAACCAACAATATTTAGAGTGAAAAAAGCAAGTCATAGAGGAGAAAATATTTTAATATATCCAAAATATATAAAGAACTCACACAAAACAATATAATAAAAATGAATAACAGCTGTGTCTCAAAGATGATGATGTTGTCTGAATGGCATAAAAATTGAAAAGGTTCTCTGCTTCATTAGTGATCAGGTACCTGCTATTGGAATCTCTGAAATTGAAAAAGACAAATAAATTTAAAAATTACAAAGATCGACAATGTCAGTACCAAATATTAGTGTGAATGTGGAACAAGGGGCCTTTCGTGCACTGCTGTGATTTTGTGCAACTGTGTTCGAGCTCTTCAGTTGTGTGCCTTTTTTTGGGAGACAAGGTCTTGCTCTGAGGTTCTGTAGCCTGAAATCACTGTGTAGTCCAGGATGCCCTTGAATTTGAGGCGATCCTCCTGCCTCGACCTCCCCAGTGCTGGGATTGGCTGTAAAGTTTTTTGATATTTTCAACTACAAAGCTGAACATAGACCTGTTATGACCAGCCATTTCAGTTCTAGATGTTTCCCCAACACAGCTGCTTATAAATCTACATAAAAGGACATGCAGAAGAAAACATTTGCAGCAGCTTATAATAGCCCTAGAAAACATAAGCAAAGTCTTCTAATGAAAACTTGATCTTCCCTCCCCGTACTGAGTCATTCTGATCACAAACCAGGGCCTTTAAACTATATCTCCAGCCCTTTTCATTTTTTATATGTTGAGATAAGTTCTTGCTAAGTTGCTAAATTGCCCAAGCTAGGGTTAAATTTGCTGTCCCCAACCAAATGTGTTGGTGCACACTTGTAGTCCCAGTATGTGGTAGGCTGAGGCAGGAGGATCACAAAAAGTTAACAGCCAGAATGGATTGTATAGTGAGACCTTGTCTCAAAAAACCAAACCAAACATTACCATCCTCCTGCCTCAGCCATCTAGCAGGGATTATAGGTGTGCACAACCATGAATTCTGTTAATTTCTCAGCTCAGTTCTCCTTTTAACGTGATAAGAATAAAATGTCAGCTGAGTTTCTAAGCAGCATTGTTTGTGATCAGAGTGACCCAGGTGGTAACTTTCATGTGGACTGGGAAGAACCATAAATGAGTTATAAAGACCCAATGGGTGTGTCATACTTTGAGCTTCCCTGAAGGCATGACTCTTACTCAGCTGTGTCTACAGAAGGGGCCTGAACCTGTGGCACAGGATGGGGAAAGTGTTATGCTGCCCGGGCACGTGGCTTCTCAGCCAGACACCTCCTTCCGCAAGAGGGGCAGTTGCTACTTCCCAAGTTGTGATTCTTGTCTTTTTTCCAGCTTGAACTTTCCACTAAGTTCAGCTTCTACTGTGTTTCCACATCTGTTTATCCATCTATCCATTCATCTTTTTCTTTCTCTTCTTTTCCTTCCTTCCTTCCTTGTACTAGGGATCGAACTCATGACCTCATGCTTGCCAGGCAGGGACTTATACCACTGAGCTAAATCCCCAGCCAGCATTTGTTCTTTTGCTTTCTTTTCTTTTCTTTTTGGTGCTGGGGATTGAATTTGTGACCTTGTGCTTGCCAGGCAGGTGCTTACAGCTGCCCAACGTTTTTGTTTTTATCTGATGTTTGTTTCCAGAACCAAACTCTTGATTTTCCACCTTCAACCCTTCACTCCTACCTTCTCCCCCGCATCAGTTAGTAGCTCCTTTATTTTTCTTGTTGCTCAAATCAGAAACCTTGATTTCCTCTTTCTCTCTTTGTCCCATACCTTTTGATGTATTTCCGAATCAGGCCACCGTCACTGAGCTGAGCCATCCCACTCTCTCCAGTAAGAGCCTCCTAAGTAACCTCCTCTTCCTGGTCCTCTTCCTCTGTGGTCCATGCTGTGGCCTGAGTGACCCCAACAACAAATGAGTCAGATGTGTAACTGCTCAGCCCAGACCCCTCAAGCCTTTTCCTCAATGTTAGCCTCTCCAGTTCTTGACGATGGCCTGCTGTCTGAGTTCTACCTGTGTTGTCCCTTGCTACACTTAAGCCGCTGTGACCTCCTTGCTGCTCCTCATATATATATATTTTTCCCTTTTTTGAGACAGAGTGTAGCTATATAGTTCAGGCTGGCCACTGTATAACCCAGGCTGGTCTCAGACTCATGGAGATTCTCCTGCCCAGCCTCCCAAGTGCTAGGATTACAGAAGTTCATCACTATGCCTGACCATAGATTATACTTTCTAAGGACTGATTGATTGATTTCCCTGCCCTTTTATCCTGCTGACTTCTGCTGGTCTTCTGGGATCATCACTGTAGATAGCATTTTCCCTGGAAAACCTTCCCTGGCCAAACTGCTGTCCTGTTTCCCCGTGGGTGCTCCTCCATGCTGCTGTGGTACCTGTGATGCCATGCACTGCTCCGTGTAAGTTGGCCTCAGTCATTACTGGGCAGTCTGTCTTTCACCTTCTGCTTTGTGCTATAGTCCCCAACACAGTGCCTGGAGCAGATTGTGCACTCCATAAATGCCTACTTCTGCCTCTTAATTTGCCAACTCCTAGATCATAAATGATGCAGTGCAGGTGCTAAGCGTCGTGGAGTACTGCAGTTAGAAGCGAGTGGATCCCCTCCAAACCAGTCTCTTCGTGTTCTGCTTAGCTAGAGTCTCTGCTCTGCATCTCCTACTGAACGGTTTGAAGCCTCATTCTTGCTACTTTTCAGAAGTGGAATCTCTCAATAAAAATGTTTAACTGAAGTTGCAAAGAAAAAATAATATTCAACCCTCAACTAAGTAATAATGGCTTTGGATAGATTTTATTCTAGACTGACACATGTTAAAATAATTGTATAGGACTGAGGCTACCGCACAGTGGTGGAGCCCTCCCCCAGCACGCGCACGCCCTGAGTTCTATCCCAGTGGCGCTAAAAGAACAAAAAGCAGTCGCTTGAAGTAGTGTAGAGTCAAGCCAAGGGTTTTAAAGGAAATGAGATAGATCACTCCGGAAAGTGGACTCTGAGCTCCTTCATAAAACTGACCTGTAAAAGCATTGTTGGGCTGGGCTGTTGGATTATATGCACATGCAATCCTGCACTAGGGAGGATAAAGGGCAAGATCACTGCAAGTGTGAGGCCACTCTGGGCTACAGAGTGAGCTCAAGGCCAGCCCAAACTACATGGTGAGACTCTGTCTGAAAAATGAAAGTACTTGTTGGTAATGAAATCTTCCAGTTTGCCACTTCTGAACTGCTGGGTTAGACTTTATCATTCAAGCTAAGTTAGCTGCTGCAACCTGTTTTTTTCTTCGAAAACTTTAATATTTATTTTTTTCTTGACACTGTATGATTTTAATACATAATTTTTAAAAATCATCCTTTAATAAAGAAAAATGTTTGAATGGTACTGGGTTTTGTCTGCATGTTTTTTCCCTTTTATCTGTGGATGTAATGACATTTTATGTTACTTTTTGTTACTCACCATGCAAGTATGCTTTATTTGACCGTGTAATTGGTTTGTGTCATGTGTAGTGACCACTGATGATAAATATCATAATCTTCTAACTGGAAACTTTTTTCCTTTGCATGGATTTCTCTTTGGATGTAGTTGTTGTGGAATTACAAGCTGAACCTAACTACCGATCCCAAATTTGAATCTGTGGCCAGAGAGGTTTGCAAATCAACCATATCAGAGGTAGGTGGTAAAAGAGTATTGTGAATACTTATGACTTAGAAAAGAAAATGGACATCTCTTGACCAGACCAGTCATTAAGAGTGGAACGACTCAGATACTTTACTTGTAACTCATGTCTCTCTTGGTTGTGGATAGGAAGAGGGGATATGATGCGATTTCTTTTGTTAACACTGCCTGCCCTTGTGGTGAGCTGCTGTTGACTGGGATGCTTCAGGTCCGGTTCGGTTGGTCCCCACACATTCTGTGTACCAGTGGAGCTGTCACGGTCGCTCACTCACCTTTCACACCTTTCCTGCCTGAGGCAAGCCCACACCTGTTTCCTAGGAGGTTTACGTTCATCAGTGCTCTGGTTTGGCCCTTGGGCCACAGAGGCATATGCTTCTAATAACAGGAGTTAGTGCTAGGAAGGTTCCAGCTGTTCATGTTCATAGTTATACATTGATACTGAGTATAAAGAAAAGAAACAATGAAAATACATTGTACTGTACAGATAACAATGGGAGAATTTTTTGAAATTTTTTGGCTCAATGTAAAGAACAAATGATAGGATATTAATGAAAATTGTCGGGGGCTGTTTTGTTTTGTTTTGTTTTTGAGATAAAATCTCTACATAGTTCAGGCTGGCCTCGAGCTTGTAGCAGTCCTCCTTCCTGAGCCTCCCAAGTGCAGGGTTTATAGTTATGCACTGCCTTGCTTGCCTGCAAATTGTGGCAGCGGTAGAAACCCCAGAAAGCCGTACATTTTTGCACATTGAAATATGAAAATTATGCTTTAGTCTTTTAAAGCCGTGGCCCTCCATATTGAGCATTTTTTTAGAAAATTGGTCTTTGACTCCTAGCTTTAATATTTTACATCTTAAATTCCTTTAGCTGGCTATATGATCTAAACCTCCAACTTGAAAATCTCAAGAGGAAGAGTAATTACTTAATGATAGAAAGAAATACTGGGAAGAATCATTCCCAGACTTGAGCTGTAAATGTGTGTGTATTCTCACTTTCTGTGGTATTATTACTAATAAGTAGAGGGATGGGCTGTTGCTCAGTGGTGCAGCACCGGCCTCATAAGCAGAAAGCCCTGGGTTCAACCCTCAGTACAGTGGGAAAAACAGTAAATAGGTTGCTTTTTTCTTTTTTTGGACCCATTAGAATGCATGTACATATTTGTTTTGCCCCATTTTATATCAGCATTAAATAGTATGGGTTTGATTGCCGTGTGGACATTTAATTCAGGATGTATACATATCCATCCTGGTAATTTCACGCTTTGCCTTAGGTTGCCGTCTTCATAATGTAACTAGTGATCCTTTGTGGTGACTCTGTGACCTTTTTTGGTGTTACAGTTTTGTAAAAGATCAAGTAAGCACAACTCTCTCTATAAAGAGATTATACAGGAGTCAGGAAAATTAAGTACTACATTAGGAAGGACATAGTTGTCAGAACATCATTTATTCTGTTAGTACCACCACCTTCTTTTTCTTTTTCCTCTTCTTCTCCTTCCCCTTCCCCTCCTCCTCCTGCAGAACATAGTTGTCAGAACATCTTTTATTCTGTTTCCTGCTCCTTTTTTTGATACCAGGAATTGAACTCCAGACCTTGCACTTTGCCAGGTAGGCATTTGTGCCACTGAGCTATATCCCCAGCCCCATTGTGTTATCTTTTTTTTTTTTTTAACATTTGAAAATCCTGTTTTCATATAGCAAAAGAACATCACAAGAATATCTGCAAAACCTACCTTATTTACTCTCCACACCTGAGCTAAATACTCAAATATTTTTCTAATGCACCCCAGGAATCAGCTCTCCAGCCTCTTCAATTGCCTGCCTGCCTGCCTCTCTTTCTCTCTCCTGGAGATTGAACTTGGGGCCTAGTACATGCTAGGCGCGTACTGTATCACACATTACTGTTTTAACACTGTTTGTGGTACTGGACCTTGAACTCAGGCCTTCACACCGAGCTAAGTGAGGGCACTGAGATTATGTAGAGACAGAGTCTTGCTAAGTTGCCCAGAAAGGACTTGAACTTGTCCTTTTGCCTTAGCCTGCCAGGTGCTGGGCTTTGAGATGTGCTCCTTGGCTCCCGACTGAACTTACGCTGTTTTGCTGTTAATCTTAGTAAGGAAAGTATTAGCCAGCAGAATGGTTGGAACGTCTCATTCAAACACTGTACCCTTTTCTAATTGGTAGTAAACTGAAATACAGTGTGTACTACCTCTCCACATTTCAGGAAAGCCTCAAGTAATTGAAACTAAATATGTTTGGTTTATTATTAGGGCTGCAGTTCAAAATGTGCTCTTGGTTTTTCCACAGATTTTTAAACTACTCATTGCCTGGTATTAGGGTCCATATGCATACTTCGTTGTGCCATTAAGTCTTTTTTTTTTTTTTTTTTGTCTTTTTCGTTTTTACCGGTACCAGGGATCGAACTCACGACTGCCTGCTTGCAAGGCAGGTGCTTATGCCGCTGAGCTAAATACCCAGCCCCGTACCATTAAGTCTTAAAACCCAAAACTAGCTATGTATTTAATGCAGGATTTTTTTCTTGTGATTGAGTTGCAAATGCTGGGATTTTAAGTGACCATTTTTTCCCTTTCTATTGCTTTTGAACTTAATGCCGTTTGCTAAGCAAACAAGTTTAGGGATATACTCATGGCCCTATTTTTTAGGGATTACAAAAATGTGTTTAAGAGTAAACTGAAAGAATGTTCACCCCAACTGCTGAAAATCTCTGCTACCTCTAAAGCCATTGACTGTTTACTTAAATTCCTTAGTTTTTTTCCTTAAAAGTATACAAAATCTTTTACACTAAGCTTTTGATTTGGTCTGACTTTGCTACTGGAATTAAAGAGACCCAGTTGCTTATAGGATAACTTGTGGAATGATCTATTGCAGTGATGCTTTTTGAGCTTTCAGTGATACAAACAAGCTTGCTATAAGTTCCAAAAGACCAGTTAAATCTGAGCGTGACGGTGCACACCTGTAATCTCAGCACTCTGGAGACTGAGACAGGGGCCTTGCTTTGAGTTTGAAGCTAGACACAGTGCATTCGAGGCCAGCCTGAACTACATAATGAGACCTTGTCTTAAAAAAGAAAAAAGTGTTGTTTTTTATGAGCACAGAATACTTGTAACAAAGCTACTTTGTTCTGAACAGATTAAGGAATGTGCTGATGAACCAGTTGGGAAAGGTTACATGGTTTCCTGCTTGGTGGATCACCGAGGCAACATCACCGAGTATCAGTGTCACCAGTACATTACCAAGATGACGGCCATCATTTTCAGTGATTACCGTTTAATATGCGGCTTCATGGATGACTGCAAAAATGACATCAACATTCTGAAATGTGGCAGCATTCGGCTTGGTGAAAAGGTATATCACTTTGGCTTTACCACGGGGAACCTGTGAACTCGGTAAAGGAAAACCATGGGACAACTCACAAGGGCGAACTTTAGGATTGACAGTGACTGCACAATTGAAGTTAAAACTTGCCTAGGTACCCACAGATCTGAAATCAGCTGACCTGTGACTGGATTTTATATGTTTGTAACAGAATGTTTTAGCATTTTGTGGGGAAGTGGAGGGATTAGTATCAGCTCAGGGCGGTATTACTGGGACAGTGTTATGCACCTGTAATTGCACCTGCTTGGAAGACTGAGGCGGGAGGGCTGCAAGTTCAGGGCAGCCTGGGCAACTTAATGAGATCCTTTCTCAAAATAAAAAACGGATGAAAAAGGCTGGGATGTAGCTCAGTGATAGAATGCCCTGGGTTTGATCTCCAGTATGGGTACCAAAAAAAAAAAAAAATCCCAAAAAACTGGAATTACCTTCAAAATATTACCCACAATGCACCTGTGGCAAAGGAGAGGCCTGAGTTCTCTGATCTTTCTCCTCATGTTCACTATTTAAAAATTACTTAGCAGACACATGAGCTTGTCTCTATCTGTAAAGTGAAATATTTAAATATTAGGAAACTTTTAACATATGTGAAGGTATTTCTAACTTATTGGAACAGAGATGCTCTGTGATTGTGGTAAATTACCATCTCCATCTCAGAACCAGTTATAGTAAGTGCAGAAAATAACTCACTAGCTGGTTTCTTTTTTTTTTTTTTTTTTTTTTTTTGTCTTTTTCGTTTTTACCGGTACCAGGGATCGAACTCACGACTGCCTGCTTGCAAGGCAGGCGCTTATGCCGCTGAGCTAAATCCCCAGCCCCCACTAGCTGGTTTCTTCTTCGTTAGTCATAGCTGTTTTGTGTGTGAAATTATTAGCCTGGCAACCAGAAGGTCCCAATGCAGGGTTGGCCAGGTTTATCCTGAATTTGTGTCTCAGCAAAAATGAAAGAAGTGCATGAAAGTAATGAATGCCAACGGGAGAGGGCAGAGGTGGTCTGAGCCCTCTGTACCAGCTGTTAGTTGCTGCTGCTCATTAATCTGTTGTTTAGGGAGTAGGATGGAAAATAAAACCTCTCTCTCCATCTGTCTGTCTGTCTGTCTGTCTCTATCTTTATTTCTCTTTACTAGGGTTGAACCCCAGGCCTTCACACTGAGCCGTGTCTCCCCAGCCCCTTCATTTTTTGAGACAGAGCCTCATTTATGTCCCTCAGGCTTGAACTTCTTCCTCCTGCCACAGCCTCCCAGAGTGCTGGGTTATAGAGGTGCACTGTCACAGACAGCGCATCTGTCTCTTTGCTGTTTGTGGTTTGCAAGTGTTTTTGCAAAAGAAGTGTGGTATAGGACCTCATAATTCAGGATAATGGCTCGGCTCACACAAAGATTTTAGTGCTGAATTTTAGTGGTTGTCACCTAGGCGTGGGTTCTGTCTTTCTGTCAGCACGGGTCCCTGTCCTCCTAAGATAACTCTGAGTCATCTTTAAAGCTCTATCACTTTGGCATAAAGCTTTCAGACAACCAAAGAAAGATCAAGTGTTAGTAAGAACAGATGGTTTTTTTTCCTTCCTGAAAGACTCTAGAAATGACATAAAAGCCTTAAGTCACCCAGGGTGATTTAGGAAGCTCCTCTGGCTTTATGTGGGGTGATGGAGATTTATCCAGTTCCAAACCTTACCTCTTTGAAAATTTCCACATAGTGCTTTAGCCAGATTTTTGAGGGATCAGCGATGACACATTCACATTTGTGATCCTTGGTCACAGGGTGGAGTAGACCATTACGATCCCCTTTTCTTTATAGTAGTTCTTGTCTTTGACATCAAGGAAACAGCAGTGCAGTCAGTTGAATTAGCAGCAGGAATCAGTGTTGCTGGAGCCGAAGGCTATGACAGAATTGTTTATTCAGGGGTTTGGTTTCTTTTTGTTTTATTTGAGACAGGGTCTTACCGTGTAGCCCAGGCTAGCCTCAAATTGTTTCTCAGCCTCCTAAGTCCTGGATTATAGACCTAGACAAAGTAGGCTCGTGGTTGATATGTTTGTGCCATGTCTATATGAACACATAAATGCCATGGTTTTAAAACTATAGTAGCTGACGGTGGTACACGCCGTCATCTAGCCGTCGAGGGTGAGGCAGGCAGAAGATCACTGTGAATTCGAAGCCAGCCTGGGCTACAAAGTGACTTTTTTTTTTGTTTTGTTTTTGTTTTTATCGGTACCAGGGATCGAACTCACGACTGCCTGCTTGCAAGGTGGGCGCTTATGTCGCTGAGCTAAATCCCCTACAAAGTGACTTATAAGGGTGGTCCTGAACTACACAGTGAGACCATGTCATTTATTTTTATTTGTTTATTTTTTGTCTTTTTCCTTTTTATCGGTACCGGGGATCAAACTCACGACTGCCTGCTTGCAAGGCAGGCGCTTATGCCGCTGAGCTAAATCCCCAGCCCCTCAGAGACCATGTCATTAAAAAAAAAAAAAAAAAAAACCTGGAGTAATTTTGTCTGCCATACTAAATTTTAGAACAAAGAAAATATACTAGCAAATTCTGTGAAATTTCTCTAAATAACTATTGTTAAAATAAAAGAGCAGTGATCTGGTATGGTGGCACATACCTGCCCAGCTGTCGAGAGGATCGTGTGTTCAAGGCCAGCCTGCCCTGGATGGTTGAGTTCAGAACCAGCCTGAAGTATACAGTGAGACCCTATCTCAAAAAACAAACAAAAAATAAAAGAGCAGTTTGCCCAAATTTCCAAAAGTAGAAGTATAAATGAGTTACAGCAGCTGAAGAAAAAGTAGAGTGTGACCTCAAAAGGAGTTAATTATGGACCTGTACCATGGGATCACTACTTTCATACGTTTAATAATTATTTTATTATTTCTTGCTTTTAGCCAATTACTTTGAGTAATTTCGACATTCTGATTTTCTCAAAGTAGATTATAGAAGATACCAGAGACAACAAAATAAAATGGTTTATATCAGAGGTAAAAGCTGGGTTCTTGCCTACGTTTTGAGATTAAGGTTCTCCTCTGTGGGGTTTTTGTTTTGGTTTTTTAAGGACGAAGAATACGAAGAAGAAAAATTAACTCAGGCTTCTAAAACCAGACCAAGGCATTGGCAGTACTTTTCAAGTAAACATTTAAAAACATTAATACAGGCATATTGTGGACCAGGATATAGCTGGGTGCTTGCCTAGCATATCAAGGTGTCGGGTTCAGCGCCTCATTCCCTACCTTATTAAATCCATTTATAGAATCATTTGTTATTCATATCTCAAGCCAGCGTATTAGTAGTCAAACTTTTCTAACCTAATTTTATTTTTGCATGGATAATGTGCATGTGTGTAGGTTACCTCACTTGCTTTCATTCTCCTTAGATAATTAGACATGTAGCCTTCATTGTTTTTTTTTGTTTTGTTTTGTTTTGTTTTGTTTTGTTTTGTTTTAATTTTTATTTAAGGAGAAAAGAGAAGAAAGAAAAAAAAAACAGTGAAGGGGTACAAGTTATACAGATTTACAGAATAAAAAAATGCGCAGTAGGAAATCACTAGTTAATGGATTACATATTGCCATCTTAGAAATACTTGTTCAAGTCACAAAATTAAAGCTTGTAGAGTGGACATTCCAACAATGATACTGCAGACAGTTCTGTTCAATGATCCAATAAAACTCTGTGATATCATTTTCTATCTTATACATTTAAATATACATGCAGTTATATAGTTTAGAGCACTTTCTTTTCCTCTCTTTTGTACAGTGACTATTACACATTTTGGGTTTCATTGCTCCCACGGTTCTTGTTGCTTTTTTGGAAGAGAGTAAAACCAAATGTGACATAACAGAACAGAATCGGTCAAGTCAAAAGGGTGGACATAATAGATAATATAAAAACATAATACAAGGTGATCAACAATGGTTACCATAATGCCTCCCGCTATTTCTAATAGAATTGCCTATATCATTAGTTGTAATACAATTGAACAAAACCGTAAAGAATAAAACCGACAAAACCAAAACATTGGAGATATTGTAGGTCTTCAAAAGTAGATAAAAGTCAACGAGAATGGGCGTTATAATGAATCTCATTATCTTCTCAGCTGATGCCTAAACTTTCGAACCTGATACTATCCAGCAAAACAGAATAGGGGAACATCAGTCAAAAACAAGATGGTGAGAGTAACACAGGGCTTCAAATCGAGATAATAGAAAGTCAAAGTGGGTTACTATATTATATCCTGCTATATTTTTCCCTTTAATTAAATGGATAAAAATAAAAAAGTAAATAATGGAGTGGAGATTGAGAAAAAAAGAGGGCATAACAGCGAAACAGGGCAGATCAAAACATAACCATTTAAGCAGAATAGTGTTTCACCACCAGATAATCCTGACCCAAAAATAGTTACCATATTGACTCCCTCCCTGAAGTCCTTGAGTACAACTTCATATACTGTAGCATTAAGTATATCAAAACAATGTAAATCCATTTAAGAGAATGACAGCATTATAGAGTATTTAGAATCGACTAACAGAAAATGAACAATGGTCTCTGTATAATCTCCTTGTCTTTAAAAGGTTTTTTCTTATACTATCATACTTAACAAAATCCAATAAGATACAACCTGTTTAGACCATTGGAGACAGAAGAACAAAAGCTAGATGAGACTTCAAAACAAGATGGTACTAAATCAGCATTACCTATTAAGATGTCATTTTCTCCAAAAAAAGCTGTTCCTATCATCCAATCTTCTCTGTCTCATTTCTGTTGAGCTCTTTTTCTGTCAGTAGCTGTCAGTTTGTCTTCTTCATTTTGTTCTCTGCTCCATTCGTTGTGGCCTCCCTGCCCCTATTTCTGGGTTCTTTGTATTTTTCTTTTTTTAGAATATCCTGCAATACTTTCTGTAGGGTTGAATTGGTGGTTGCAAATTCCCCCAGTTCCTCTTTATCCTGGAAGCACCTCGTTTTTCCATCAATTTCCAGGGACAGT